CATTAATTGACAATAAACTCTTAAAACTTATAAAAAGCCGGCAGACTTTTCTGACTGAAGAGTCTATCCTAATTACATTTAACTACATTGTTTGGTTGAAAATTCTCTTCTTCTGACTCTTAAACAAAGGATGACAACCGCGTGTCAAGTAATGTTTACTTATCAAAGATTAGTTTTTTCACATATAATTGGTTCAAACCCGGAGCGCTTATCTAAGAAAAGAAACATTTCAAACAGCACTGATTATTCCCCACACAGTAGAAGTGGAGCGTTGGGACTTGTACAGTTCAGTAAGGATATCTTTGAAGCTAAATCACCAGTAAGCATAAGACACAGCCCAAAAATAGTGGTTCCTAAAAGACAGAAGAAAACTGAACGTTTCAGACAATTATGATGAGCAAACTTCAAAAAAAAAAAATAAAACAAAACAAAACAATCGTTTCCAAAGGACTTTTCTTACTTCAGTTCCATATTTTAACAATTTTCGCAGCACCGTACTTCCTCATTAAGTATTAAAAAGCTACAATGAAACCTCCGGAAGAAGCGGATACTTACTGACAGTAAAAAAAATCTTAAGTTACACATGCTAGTTTTGAAGGCAACAAACTTGTAACGAATAAATCACTCAGCACAAACCCAGAACCCAGGTGCAGAAGCTATCAGTCTGTGCTGACAGTAGTAATAACAATACAGAAATCAAGGCACCGAAACCACTTGGCGGCAAACAATTTCGTTTGGGTTGTTGCCAAAAAGAAGTTTTTTTGGAGTTTAAGCTCAACGCGATAAAAAATTTTTTTATTAGTTTTGGATACTCATTATTGGGTGTTGGCGCTGCTACCAAAAATGCGAGTAGACGTAACTCTGTTGAAGAAAATTTTGTTAATCACCGATTTGTGGTTGAAAATGAGTCTTAAAATTAGTTTAGACAGATAGTGAAGCCTTCGAAGGCATCATTTGATGACTGTAGATCAGCTGTTAAATTAGAACACTAGAGTAAATGATTCAAGAATCACAGTTAACAGGCCAGAAAACCTGAGAATTTTGTGCTACTACTATTCTCAGTAATCCTCGACAGTTGCAGAATACAAGGCGAAGATGGCGACCCACCTTTTATTTTTTGTCTATCGTGGTTCAAGAATCTGCAATGACTCTTAAGTTGAGAAAAAGTGCCTATTGAAGTGCAGTGCTTAACAGGTTATGAGTGGACTACCTCAAATCGACGATTCAGGATTTTTTTGAAACTTGTAGGAACTCTAAATTTCTCCCAAGTTTTAAACTCCCCTCACCAAGTTACAACTTCTCAAACATTATGTTTTTACGTGTAGCTGTCTTTAAAAAATTTTATTTTTGAATTTCTGTCGAACATTTAATGATAAAATTGGCTAGAGTAGTACTAATTTGTTATAGAGAATTTTGAGAGGCCTGTCTCATAGATAGTACGTAGAACAGTAACTGTAAAAAGCTAAAGAAAGCGGTATTTTTTCATGGAAATAATTGACACCATAACTTTAGTATAAAAGATTAACCAATATTGAAAAGTAACAGTTGGAGATCTGGTCAAAAGGAGCGTGGAAAAATCACAGAGAGAACTTGAAGGATACTGCTGAGGAATTATCATTTAAAAGTTAGCAGATAAAAGGCAGTTTTTAGCAGCCACAGAACAGAATTTGTAACTGTCTATTTAATGCACACAATCTGGATGACTATTCAGATTCGTTTATTACCTACGAGAGCGTTGCACTTAAATATCCTTTAGTTACTCTTAGCGTGATTATTCAAAATCAAATCAAAATTTAGAGTCGCAAAATAAACTACTTTTTATGAGATTTTGAAATTTCTCGCTTTACACTTTCAGACTGGCGACTCGAAATGAAGCGGCTAAGCAGTGAACTCTGAATGAACTTTTAACGCAAATTATTTACTAAATACATTTCTTTTTGCCTATTTCAACACCTCCAAATATTCGTCTTTGAGCCGATTTTATTCCCAAAAATCTGCATTGTTCTGTTCATAAAATCGAGCTGACATTGTACCATTATAAGGTTACCTTATAACATTCTTCAAGTTGTGTTCCATAGCTGGCAACAGTTCATGAGATAAGACAATTTCATGAAGCAGATAAGCTGTGCCTTCAAAAAGCTAATATACTTCACTTGAAAAAAAAAAAAAAGTGCATATTCTGGAAATTTACAAGTAAAATATTGTTGGACAAAAGTATATAAATTCTAATCTTCAATCTTTTTTAGCAATTATTTTTTAAACTACACCACAACAGAGCTATCTCAACAAAAAATGACAGCTACTATAGATAATTGTTCCTCTTGTCACAAGTAAAAATTCATAGCTGGAGGAAGAACAAAAGTTTTGTTACAAAAAGAAATTGAAAGATTTTTTGGATAGCTCCCAGTCATAAGTATTTATTACGAACATAGTGCACTTCTGATATGAACAAGTTAACTATTGAAGAATATGGAAGAAAAAAAAAAATTTTATTGTCAAAAATCATTACTGTTTATTTTAGTGCCTTGTAAATGGGCTAAGAAATAAAACAGGGAATTAGATGGATAACAGGAACTAAACTTTTTTTTAGTGGATTTCTAGACAACTAAGCTATTTTTAGTGTACTGGATGACCAGGAAAGCTATCCATTAAAGTATGTGTTTCCGTCACTGAATTCTACGCGAACGGAAAAATTGCTGCCAGACAGAAAGTTTGAAGATGCCCCTAAACTGAAGGAAAAACAATAAAACGGTTGTTGCAACCTAATAAGCCAGCAAAACGATCAATGTATTAGTTGGTAGGGTAAAAGCTAGAAAGATAATTTTTTCACCTTGCGTGGTAGTTCATTACGATCTAAAACAAACTGTCTGAAACAATTAGTAGGGTCGGCTTTAAAGGGCTATCAAATTCATTATTTAAATTTTCTGCCATTAGTTCTCATCCCACTTCACGCATCTGTTAATTAAAATGCAACATTCCGTTATCTTCAGCTATCAGTTAAAAACTTTATTTCTTAAATACTTGGGACTATGTTACATATGTTAGCTTAACGTTTGCTGTAGTATTCCGCAGTTTTCGCTCAACAGGACAGTGACCCGATTGACGAAGACAAGTAAATTACTGCCCAACCCATTTGTACACAACAGCGTTCGCATCGGCGACCACTTCAAAAATGGCACAACCCCTGGTCGCAAATGTTTGCGACCCGCCGAAAATAGACCTCCATATATTATATTCGTTGGCATCCAATTATAGAAGT